TCGATATCAGCCGCACCTTCCTCAACCAAACAGTCGCCGTCCTCGTCGTTCGGCTTAATATCTAAGTGACTCACCAACATCGGATCCCACCGATGATACTCGAAAGCCAGTTCGACCAACTCCGAGTCATGATACACCTCTAATGGAACTGAATCCGTACTAGATGAACTCGCAACCGCCTTACCCTTCCCCTTCGATGCCATCGAATACAAACAATATAAAACGAAGAAGCGAATAAAAACTGAAGATAAAACTTACCAAAGAATCAGCGAGTAAGTAGCGCACAAGGAATAGTTCTCAAGTTCGCAAGGAATATTCAACAGCAAGATTACTATTTGCAAGAACTCAAGGATTAAAACGAAAGTGAAGAAAAGTCGATTAAAAATCCCGGTGCCCTATTTATAAGCCCTAATTTCTGACTGTTAGCATTCTCAATCGACAGCGCGTTTAAACGACACGACCTGCCTTTCCCAAACGGTGCAATCAAGTGGACGTTATTTTATTAAAAGTAGCCGTTACTGTACTTAAGGCCATTACGGCGCGACTCTTCACACTATACATTTAATATGTTCAACCGTTACGTTTCTTCAAGTCATCTTAAAGACCGTCCGCGATCTGCCGAAATTCTACCAAGTGTTTTCACCTCGGAAACCGGTTCTCACTTCGGAACAGACAATCTACTTCGGTCACCTCGCACACATCAGAACATTAAGGATGGACATTACCAGACTCCAATTTCCCACCGACTCAAAGCTTCTAGTTGTTTTACAATACCGGCGACCATCACTCCGTATGCCCGCCGATATTGGCGGCCTCTCTGTTATCATCCGACTCGGTAAAGCACAATTAAGGGCCTTGAACAGCATCTTAAGCAAATTTAACTTCAACTACAAAAGACCGAAGTGATCATAACCCGCCGAGGTCATCCCAAACCGAGGTCAACACGAATCGAGGTCGTTACGTCCTAAGCAGGTGACAAGGCGCCTACACGCCCCTTTCACGATCTACGAGATCTGCTATCATTCACGTTGGGCCCGCTAAGCCTGCCGCCCATCAAAAAGTAGCTTATGGACAAAGTAACGCACGGATCCCGATATATGTACCAAAAAGTTACTATAAATAGTGAACTGATAATACTTGTACGGGATTCGAATTCTTCCGTCTCGAATCGAACTTCTTGATTATTAACACGAAATAGCTCATAGAAGCTTTTAACCTCGGTTCACCTCGGACCGGGGCCATTGTTGAGTATTTCACCCATGCTTTACGTTCAAATCATTCATTATCGCTAAATAACTTCAACATTAGATCGTTGTTAAGAATCACCTAACAACAATGTGCTTGAGTAGTTGGATCCACAAGTGGTATGATGGCTAGTTTGTGAATTGGACTGCGGACTACAATATGTTTGAGCAGTTTCCCTCGCAGAAAAGGAGCAATTACTCTCGTTTTCCCATTAAAGCTCCTTGGGTGTTTTATTCCTTCTAGGCACCAATAAAAATACCTACCATAATTTTTATCTGTTTTAGCCATAAAACGATACATCCGACCACGTCTGCATGAACAAAAGGGTGGGTGAGAGACCATGATGAAATTATGTGAATTTTATGTTTGTAGAACACACCCCTTTTATAGAACCCAATTTTTTTTTTTTTTTTTGCCCTCAATATTTTTTCACTCAATTTCTCCTATCACTTCCCGCCAAAAACACTCTCCACTTTATCTACCTTTTTTACACCTTCTTTTTGACAGAGCCAACACACTTTTATGTGGAGTTTGTCCCACCAATTGAGTGATATGTGAAAAAAAGGAAGACACCTACACGCTATTGCCCATTCCCTCTGCACATTGATAAAGAAAAGAAGTTTGCTCTCTTGTTGTCTTGCATGATGTACATAGCATGGGACAAAAGAAGAACGAATATAAAAAATATTGTGAACGTTATCACAATTATAAATGACACCACATGCATTGCCATACTTGACGCCAGTGTGGATAAGGCCCATCATAAAAAAGCCTGTATGTATTTTAAATGACATATTTGTTTATGGGTCAAAATCTTTTTCACCCCATTATATAT